GAGGGGAGCGTCGGGAGGGACCACCTGGGTACAGGAATTACCATTATTTTTAGAACAATTAATCCTAGCCAAAAACAAATGAAATAAGTACTAGTAATTATGTAATAACAAATACAGTAAAAAGTTTCCTAAAAGCAATGTGCACTGGCTGAAGTTTCCATAAAAAATATTGCGAGTTTTTTCCTCCTAGCGGCCTACGTAACGTGCTATAGCTGCCCCAAGTGGACCCGTCCAACACTGGTCAACCCATGTGCTCCCGTCCCTCGTGTTATATCACAGTGCTGCACTATTAGTAAAATATTTTTTTAAATAACTTTTTTATTTTCATAGTAACTTTGAACATTTTTGGCCAAGACTATGTCTGGTAGCAGCATAAATATTTCTGGAGGTGTTAAGAGGAAGAAGGTTGTCCTAGCATCCTAGCAATTAAAGACAAGTTATGTGTTGTTCAACCAGTGAGGCGTCACTGGCAGCCAAATCCCTTCAACAAGTGAGGCGCCACAGGCAAGCCAAGCGCTTTCAACAAGTGAGGCGCCACAGGCAAGCCAAGCGCTTTCAACAAGTGAGGCGCAAGCAAACACCTTCAACAAGTGAGGCGTCACAGGCAAGCCAAATGCCTTCAACGAATGAGGCTTCACAGGCAAGCCAAGCACCTTCAACAAGCGAGGCGTAAGCAAGCGCCTTTAACAAGTGAGGCGTCACAGGCAAGCCAAATGCATTCAACAAGTGAGGCTTCACAGGCAAGCCAAGCGCCTTCAACAAGTGATGCGCAAGCAAGCGTCTTCAACAAGTGAGGCGTCACAGGCAATCCAAGCGCCTTCAACAAGTGAGGCGCATGCAAGTGCCTTCAACAAGTGAGGCCTCATAGGCAACCCAAATGCCTTCAACCAGTGAGGCTTCAGCAGCTGGCAGTTAAAACTAACTTTGCTTAATGAACTGTACAGTAATTTTAAGTGTTAATTTTAGTATTCTGTTAGTATAGGTTATGTAAATTGTTAAGAATTCTTAACTTCAAGACGTGTGGCATCAATCAAGAAGACGAACACCAACAAGGTAAGTTGAGGTTTCTAGTTGAATATTTAATAATTATATGTGGCAAGGCAATTCAAATTATGTTGTTTGCAGTATAAAAATAGTTGGAAATGGTCACTTTTGGACTCATAGGTGGTGAAAAAGTACCATTATCCGAAAAATGTGATAATCCGGCTGGGGGTCTTTCCCATATAATTCGGATGATCAAGTGGAGACAGTATTGCCAGAATGAAAGTGGACGTATTCAAGGGAAAAAACGAACAGTTCTGCAAGAAGTGCCGGTCCATCCAGAATGTAGCAGAAAGTTGGGCTTCTGGGCCAGTCTAACCCTGGAAACACAAACCAAAAATTTCTCTATTCTCCACTTGTTACAACTTGTAATAATGTTGTTACATCTTGGCTTAACGTCTTTATGACGTATTAGAACGTTGTTACAACTTGCTATATTTGTTGTTATAACTGGTTAGGTGACGTTAAAACTTGTTCGAACATTGTACCAACATCGTAGTTTCGGTGTGTGTTTGGTGGGAAGTGACAGCCGGTTGGTCTCAAGTCAAGCCACAGGCCAGCCTTGTGGAGAAAAGAACTCCCAGCACCCTATCCAGGTGCAATCCTGGTGGACATTGAGGTACACACTGGTGAGAGTGCCACCTCTGGTGGATACCAAGGTGCACATTAGCAAGGATGCCACCTCTGGTGGATACTAAGGTACACACTAGTGAGGGTGCCACCTCCGAGGTATACCAAGGTACACACTAGTGAGGGTGCCACCTCTGGGGTATACCAAGGTGCACACTAGTGAGGGTGCCACCTCTGGGGTATACCAAGGTACACACTAGTGAGGGTGCCACCTCTGGGGTATACCAAGGTACACAATAGTGAGGATGCCACCTCTGGGGTATAGCAAGGTACACACTAGTGAGGGTGCCACCTCTGGGGTATACCAAGGTACACACTAGTGAGGGTGCCAACTCTGGGGTATACCAAGGTACACAATAGTGAGGATGCCACCTCTGGGGTATACCAAGGTACACACTAGTGAATGCCACCTTTGGGGGATACCAAGGTACACTAGTGAGTGCCACCTCTGGGGGATACCAAGGTACACACTAGTGAGAGTGCCACCTCTGGGGGATACCAAGGCACACACTAGTGAGGGTGCCACCTCTGGGGGATACCAAGGTACACTAGTGAGTGCCACCTCTGGGGGATACCAAGGTACACACTAGTGAGTGCCACCTCTGGGGGATACCAAGGCACACACTAGTGAGGGTGCCACCTCTGGGGGGATACCAAGGTACACACTAGTGAGTGTGCCACCTCTGGGGGATACCAAGGTACACACTTGCGGTACCACCTCTGGGGGATACCAAGGTACACACTAGTGAGGGTGCCACCTCTGGGGGATACCAAGGTACACACTAGTGAGGGTGCCATCTCTGGGGGGATACCAAGGTACACACTAGTGAGGGTACCACCTCTGGGGTATACCAAGGTACACACTAGTGAGGGTGCCACCTCTGGGGGGATACCAAGGTACACACTAGTGAGGGTGCCACCTCTGGGGGATACCAAGGTACACACTAGTGAGGGTGCCATCTCTGGGGGGATACCAAGGTACACACTAGTGAGGGTACCACCTCTGGGGGATACCAAGGTACACACTAGTGAGGGTGTCACTTCTGGGGGACACCAAATTACACACTAGTGAGGGTGCCACCTCCGGAAGATACCAAGGTACACACTAGTGAGTGCCACCTCTGGGGGATACCAAGGTACACACCAGTGAGTGCCATCTCTGGGGGGATACCAAGGTACACACTAGTGAGGGTGCCACCTCTGGGGTATACCAAGGTACACACTAGTGAGGGTGCCAGCTCTGGGGTATACCAAGGTACAAACTAGTGAGGGTGTCACCTCTGGGGGGTTACCAAGGTACACACTAGTGAGTGCCACCTCTGGGGGGATACTAAGGTACACACTAGAGAGGGTGCCATCTCTGGGGGGATACCAAGGTACACACTAGTGAGGGTGCCACCTCTGGGGTATACCAAGGTACACACTAGTGAGGGTGTCACCTCTGGGGGATACCAAGGTACACACTAGTGAGTGCCACCTCTGGGGGGGATACTAAGGTACACACTAGTGAGGGTGCCACCTCTGGGGGGATACCAAGGTACACACTAGTGAGTGCCACCTCTGGGGGGATACCAAGGTACACACTAGTGAGGGTGCCACCTCTGGGGGGATACCAAGGTACACTAGTGAGGGTGCCACCTCTGGGGGATACCAAGGTACACACTAGTGAGGATGCCACCTCCGGGGGATACCAAGGTACACACTAGTGAGGGTGCCACCTCTGGGGGATATCAAGGTACATTAGTGAGGGTGCCACCTCTGGGGGATACCAAGGTACACACTAGTGAGGGTGCCACCTCTGGGGGATATCAAGGTACACACTAGTGAGGGTGCCACCTCTGGGGAATACCAAGGTACATTAGTGAGGGTGCCACCTCTGGGGGATACCAAGGTACACACTAGTGAGGGTGCCACCTCTGGGGGATATCAAGGTACACACTAGTGAGTGCCACCTCCGGGGGGATACCAAGGTACACACTAGTGAGGGTACCACCTCTGGGGGATACCAAGGTACACACTAGTGAGTGCCACCTCCGGTGGGATACCAAGGTACACAATAGTGAGGGTGCCACCTCCGGGGGGATACCAAGGTACACACTAGTGAGGGTGCCACCTCCGGGGAGATACCAAGGTACACACTAGTGAGGGTGCCACCTCCGGGGGGATACCAAGGTACACACTAGTGAGGGTACCACCTCTGGGGGATACCAAGGTACACACTAGTGAGTGCCACCTCCGGTGGGATACCAAGGTACACACTAGTGAGGGTGCCACCTCCGGGGGGATACCAAGGTACACACTAGTGAGGGTGCCACATCCGGGGGGATACCAAGGTACACACTAGTGAGGGTGCCACCTCCGGGGGGATACCAAGGTACACACTAGTGAGGGTGCCACCTCCGGGGGGATACCAAGGTACACACTAGTGAGGGTGCCACCTCTGGGGTATACCAAGGTACACACTAGTGAGGGTACCACCTCTGGGGGATATCAAGGTACACACTAATGAGTGCCACCTCCGGGGGGATACCAAGGTACACACTAGTGAGGGTACCACCTCTGGGGGATACCAAGGTACACACTAGTGAGGGTGCCACCTCCGGGGGGATACCAAGGTACACACTAGTGAGGGTGCCACCTCTGGGGGATACCAAGGTACACACTAGTGAGGGTGCCACCTCCGGGGGATACCAAGGTACACACTAGTGAGGGTGCCACCTCTGGGGGATACCAAGGTACACACTAGTGAGGGTGCCACCTCTGGGGGATACCAAGGTCCTAAATGAGTCACAGGTTCATGTGTTCACCTATGACAACCACAATTTATCCTGATCAACGTACAAGCCCAGCCTTCAACTGTCATTAATCACTTGCTATACGAAACTGTGCTCTCTCTCTCTCACCACACACTTAACGGTCGTTAGTGCCATAAGTAAACAAACTGTGCCCTTATGCGGGATTAAGTGAAATGGAGTTGTGCATAATATTAGCAACTGGCACCTCGCTCCAGCAACAGGCAAGTACCATAACAATCACCTCAGCCTCTCACCCATCTATATATCTCCTCCAAATGTCACCTTAGAAACCTCTTGCTCAGAGCGCCGTATGGAACTATGGCTGTGGGGAATGACCTGGCCCAGCCGGGGTCTTTGTACCGAAGAAAGATGTTATTTATACATTGAAAACGGATGGGTGGCAGCCATCTTGAAATCAGATGCCCCTGGCCCCATTCATTTCCAATATTTTCACCTATAGATGCAATTGGGGTGATCATTGTAAGCCTGTGAAACACAAATGGAAGGGCAAGTGGGTGGTGGTGATGAGCTTACCGCATGGAGAGCAGTTAGACCGTCGACGTTAGCCGTGTCTATATCGGCGCCCTTCTCCAGGAGGCGAAGCACTTCTTGCTTGTCGCCTGCAGAACATGCTGCTAAAAAGATGCAGCCGTCACTGAAATTCACTTTTCGGGTCCTATTATTCTCTAACACTTCCTGTTTATTGGTTTCACTCTCTTGCCAACGCCTTAATTGCTCGGCCCTTTTAAATAGGGAGGAGGTTGAGCGGTTATCCACGGCCATAGCGGCCTCGGTCACACACCATGGGACTCTCTCCCTATACTGGCGGTGGACGGCAGCCGGGCCGGGGCGGTGGACTCGTTCCTCGCCCCGGCCCCGCCCCCGACACCCCGCCAGCCCGCCGCCGAGCCTCACGCACCACACGCACACGCACGCACGCATACACGCACGCACACGCACTTTTATACATATATACGCTCGTACTTATTTATATATAAGTTGGTTTCCATTCTTAGATTCTCTTGACACGTCCATATAGGTGTTCCCAGCATTGTTCTGAGGGCATCATTTTGAGACACTTCCAGTTTCTCCCATTGGTTATCACTGAGGGATGTAAGAGCAGGAGCAGCATAGTCAATGAATGACCTAACTGCTTCAACGTAGTACATGTTGAGTACTGGTAGAGATGTACCATCTCTAAGACTTGTCAGGAAGCGCAAAGCTGAGTTTCTGGCTTTATAACGTTGTCGAAGGTATTCAATTTCTTGAGTGAATTTCAGCTGGCTGTATATATTTTGACTCCTAGGTATTGAAAAGAGTTAACCCACTCAATTTTTTATGTCCTTGTATTGCGAGTGTGATGTCTTGAGTTTCCATTGCTCTGGTTTTATTGCTGTTTATTTTCACTGCTATGCGTTCCGCTTCTCTGCTGATAATATCTAGGCATTTTTGTGCATGGTTCCTGGCGCCTTTGCCATTGATGATGACCACAAAGTCGTCTGCATAGTTAAGCAGTTTGACTTTTGGTAACTTGAGCTTCATGAATTGTCCCATGAGACAGTTGATGAAGAAGGGGCTCAGTATTCCTCCCTGCGGAGTTCCATTTTCCAGCCTCTTTGAGGATGATGTTTTTCCTTGGAATTTGACTGTAGCTTCTCGGTTAAGCAGGCTTCCTTTGGCAAAGGCAAGAGCGTGTCCTTTGATTTCCTTATCCACAAAGCAGCACAGTGTAGCTGGAGCACTGGCTAACTCCAAGGCTTTTTCTAGGTCTAGAAAATTAAGGATTCCAGGTTTGTTGTTGATTTGATCCAGGAAGGAGGTAAGACATTCTGTGGTTCCAACACCTTTTCTGTAAGCAAACATATTTTGGTGCAGGGGATTGGCTTTCCATTCAATTCGATTAAGAGCCATTCTTTCCACAGTTTTGGTCAGACAGCTTGTTAATGAGACGAGTCTTGGATTTCCTGGGTCTTTAAGTTTTGGAATGGGAACTATAATTGCACTGTTCCAAGAGAGTGGTCGGGTTCTTGTCACCCATACTCTGTTGATGAGATTCAAGAAAGCTTCTTCACCCTTTTCTCCTAGTTTGGCCAGCATGTTGTAAGTGATTTTGTCCTCACCTGGAGCTGTATTTTTAGTTTTCTTTGTAGCTCTTCTGAGTTCTTTCAGCTTGAAAGGTTGGTCTAGTTCGTCAGGTAAGACTAAAGCATCATCTATTTTTTTCCATCTTGCTGCTTGAAGTCTTTGTTGGTGAGTCAGAGTTGCTTGAGGAAGTTGAGTGGAACTGGCTCATGAAGCAAATAGATTTGCTAATCTTTCTGCTTCTTGCTCTGGATGAACATGATGGGGCGGAGCAGGAGGTGATTTTCCCTTGGCCTTGTTGCTCTGCCTCCAAATGTCGCCCAAGGATGTATGCTGATTTAGTTTGGCACACTACTCGAGCCATTTTCCTTCTTTGATTTTTGCTGTTTCTTGGTGCACATAATCTCGGACAGCTCTAAGAAGTCCTAGATTAGCTTCGGTTCTATCTCTTCTGAAATTCGTTCGTGCACAATTTAGTCTGTTATGTAGCTCTTTGATCCTATCACAGTAATACCAATGGTTCTTATGTAATATAATATAATATATAATGTAATATAACCTCTCCCACTCTACCAATAACCGTTGGAGTGCCACAGGGCAGCATTTTGGGACCTCTCTTATTTCTTATTTACATCAATGATCTGCCTAACGTCTCTAACATTCTGAAACCTATTTTGTTTGCTGATGATACTACCCTCATCTACTCTAACCCCAGCCCACATACACTAAATAATGTTGTTAATAATGAACTGAAAAAAGTTCACTTATGGATGTCAACCAACAAACTAACATTTAACATAGAAAAGACCTACTACATCCTATTTGGAAGCAAATCTACAAATGCAATTCAGCTTCAGATAGACAATGTAAACATTAGCAATAAAAATGATGGCAAGTTTCTTGGCCTATTCCTAGACAAGAGACTCAACTTCAGAACCCACATATAACACATAACTAAGAAAGTCTCTAAAACAGTTGGTATACTCTCCAAAATCAGATATTATGTACCTAACTCTGCTCTTATCTCTCTATATTATGCACTAATCTATCCCTATTTTAATTATGGTATCTGTGCATGGGGTTCAACCACTGCAAACCACCTCAAGTCCATCATTACCCAGCAAAAATCTGCTATCAGAATAATAAAAAATTCTGCTTTCAGACAACACTCAGCCCCCTTGTTTAACTCCCTAAACATGCTAAACATAATCTCACTCCACACATTCTCTTGTGTCAACTACATTTACAAAACCCTGTTCTTAAATGCAAATCCTGCTCTGAAACTCTCCCTGGACAGATGTAATAGGACCCATTATCACCACACCAGAAATAAATATCTCTTTGATATCCCCAGAGTCAAACTTAATTTGTGCAAACACTCTATGCAAATAAAGGGACCCAGTCAATGGAACTCACTCTCTATTGAATTGAAAAGCTGTCCAACTTTTGCATTATTCAAAAACAATACTAAAAAGTACCTAATTTCATCTTCATAGTTTTTTACCTTTTGCTTTAAAACTGCACTGTATCTATTGCTACCCAATCTCCCAATCTTTATGTACCCAATCTGAACATCTTTATCATTGCGATCATTGCTGTCTTCTTATATGTACTGTCAATCTGCTGTATGGTGTCTATTAATCTTGTTTAAATTACCAATCAAGCTGTCAATGTAATCAATCAAAACTTTAATATACCAATGTGCTTTAATATACTTACTAATCTCTCTCATCTTATTTTTTTCTTGCAATGTATTTATTATCATTTTATTAATTCTGATAGAATTTACCTACTTAAAATTATCTGTTAGATTAAGGACCTGCCCGAAACGCTGCGCGTACTAGTGGCTTTACAAGAGTGCAATTACTGTACTATGCTATGTATTCTCACAAACCCAATGTACCTTCTTGTATATAAATAAATAAATAAATAAATAAATAAATAAATAAATAAATAAATAAATAAATAAATAAATAAATAAATAAATAAATAAATAAATAAATAAATATGTTGTTGGGTAATTGTTTTCCTCTTGGGGATGGCGTGATTCGCTGCTCTATGTATTGCATTTACTAAATCATTTTCCATTTATAAATGAACAATAATCATTTTCCATTTTTTATCAGCTTTGATAAAGTACCATCCGGGCTCGGGAGCTGGAGGTCTGGGAGGTAGTGCTATATTAATAACTGTTTTTGTAGCAAAGTGATCACTGGTCAGTACATAGTCAACTGACCAATGACACAACTCATAAATACTGATGGAGACAAACGTGAGATCCCGCTTCCCACCACCAATGTGGGTTGGTTCCGTCGAGTTAAGCAGACTGATTTCCGGCACTTCATCCAAAAGGTGTTCAATGTCTTCAGTTGGCGTCGGTTCTTGGTGAATCAAGTAGTAATTCACTATGAGCATTGAAGTCGACAGAGATGATAGTAGGTGTGGTGACTGCTATTTTAAAGACTGCAGAGAGATCCATGTCGTGTTCTCTAGGGCTCCTGTATACATTGAAGATGAACAGCATTGAATTCCTCATAGTGAGATTAACACCCATAATTTCGACGTTCTCACCACAGTTAGGCAGGTCCGTGATTGCCGTGGCATTGATATGATTTCTGACTAGAATTGAAATGTCTATGGTGCCACCTTGTGCAATTGGGCAGTGGAAACCTTGATATCCTGGGATGTTGATATATCTGCCAGTCCTGGTGAGTGTTTCTTGAAGTAAAACAATATCAGTGTTGTCCTTGAGAATCACTGCTCCGAGTGTTTGAGCTTTGTTTTTGAATCCTTGAAAGTTCCATTGTATAATCTTGATATTGTCCATTATTCTGTTAGAGGTGAATCCATTGAGTTCATTCTAAAGATTCTAAATTCTAAAGGTAGATTCTAAAGAGCTGATTTCCCCGACGACTTGTGCCTTCTTGGCTGGAGTGGAGACTGCTATTGGGTGCTGAAACAATTCAGTCTCGTCACCTTCTTCGACTTCTACTTCGTCAACCTTTTCAGGTAGGGCTTGTAGAAGTGTGGAAGAAATAAGTTCAGTAGATTGTCTTTTGAACTTTGTTATTATTTCCTTTCTTGACTGAGGGTTGATCTGTTCCAGTGTTTGGAATGTTTTGTCAAGCATCTTGCTGAAGGTCTCTGTTAGGGAGGCAATAACCATTGGAACAATAGTCACTTGATACGCTTTTGGCAGCCTTTCATTTGTCTTGGTAGGTGAGGAGACTCTTGGTTGGGGCCTAACGTTTTTGCTACACAACGATCAGGGGTACTTAAAGCGCGCCCGCGGAGGTCGTGACACGGGCTAGGCACGGGCTATTCACGCCCGTGCCACCTCTTGGGTGGCTTAATCTTTATCAATCAGGTCGTGACCTCTGTTCGCCCTTGACCGCAGCCGCTTCCCAACTAACTTACAAGGTCTTCCATTTTTCGAAATGAAAACACACCTCTCAATCTTCCGACCTCTTGTGGAGCTCATGATGTAGATCAGGGGTCTCCAAACTATGGCCCGCGGGCCACATCCGGCCCGCCACATAATTTCATCCGGCCCTCCAAACAAATCCCTGTGTGGTGGCCTTGAAAAAATAATTATCGTACGAATGGCATCGCAGAATTATTCAAAGCTGGGGCTGCTGACTGGTGGCGCTCAACCCGAGTCAGTTTTCCTCTCTCTCGATAGTGTGACGCACAGATACTAATACTGGTAGGTATGTGTTGTGCATTACAACCAATCAGTTGTGTATAACTGTATATTGTGG